GCATTATGAGCATAAATGTTCCAACAGTATGTCTGGGCGTGATGGCTCATGTCTGGAATCCCAGCACTTTGGGAGGCCGAGGCGGGTGGATCATGAGGTCAGGAGATCGAGACCATCCTGGCTAACATGGTGAAACCCCGTCTCTACTAAAAATAATACAAAAAAATTAGCCGGGTGTGGTGGCGGACGTCTGTAGTCCCAGCTACTCAGGGGGCTGAGGCAGGAGAATGGTGTGAACCCTGGAAGCAGAGCTTGCAGTGGATCCAGATCATGTCACTGCACTCCAGCCTGGGCGACAGAGTGAGACTCCGTCTCAAAAAGAAAAAACAAACCAAACAAACAAATAAATAAATAAATAAAATAAAATGTTCCAATAATTTATTGGGTGGGTGGGGGGGCTTCAAAATGCTTAAAAGGTACTTTCTCCCATGTACCGACCAATCTGAACAGACATAGACACCAGCCCTGAGACCGTGCTAGAGAAGTGATGAGGTTCAGAGAGGCAGCTGGCTGCTCCAGGGCACCTTGAACCTGTTGAGAATGGGCCAGCAGGTAGTGGGGTGGGGGCTCCCAAGACCACAGGCGGGGCTGGGTCTTCGGCCGGGTGGCAGAGGCCATGGGAGGGGCTGCTGTGGATGGGGTCAGGTAGAGCCCTACATAATCCTCAGCCAACAATGAGGAACTGCTCCGAACCTGAGTCTGCATCCGAATATGGTGGGTCCTGAAAACAGCACTCACTGGTTCTGCAGGCAGCTGCAAAGGCAATGAAGACATAATGACATCCCTGGCCTTGCACTGTGTGGGGAGAAGGGCTCGGCCTTGGGGTCTACACCCAAGTGATCATCAGCTCTCCCTCCCACCCACCTTCCCATCTATGCACCCACCTACCACCACTCACCCATCCATCTGCCCATGTATTCATCCACCCATCTACCCATCCATCCATGTATTTATTCGTCTATCCACCATCTACCCATCCATCCACCCATGAATTCATGCATTCATCCATCCATCCATCCATCCATCCATCCATC